GCAAAAGACGATGAAGGAGCATTTGTTTTGTTGCATTTTATGACCTTCCATTTCAGCTTCTTCAGATAAAAGAAATCCTTAGAATCCCCGTATTCCCGTATTGGTGGTTTGGGCAACCTAGGCAATAAGGAGAGAATTATGTTCCTAGTGCATTATGTTTTAATTGAACAAGGCAGAACCAGCTTGTGCTGCAGTGGCGTCACATAATGTCGAATGCACGTGACTTGCTACGCATTGGCGATGCCTCATGAAGCAATTACGATGGGTCAGACGCGCCGCTTTGTCTTTTTTAAAACAAAATGAATATTATAATCAGGGAGCTGCACCAGTTATTTATTAAGGTACTTTTTATTTAATATTGCAGATAAACAAGGAACATCTGAAGTTATAATTATAAAGTATGGAATCATTAAGCAACGAAAACATCAAATCATCAACACACCCGCCATGAAGCGGTGGAACAGGGGGCGCACCACACTAGCTCTCAGCAGTAAAGGCACACAGCAGTTGTCACAGCTGTGCAGTGGCTGCAATTACACCTGTGTGATTGCAGGAAACTTTGCTTAGAACCAAGCTCCTTAATTTTGTGCAACAGGTGGTTGTGGGACTAATGCAACAAATGCTCGCCAATTTGTGCTTCCGACTCGCCGGGCGCTGTAAGCAGGCATGCTCGGAACATTAGCATGGTCTTGGTCGTCTTCTGCTGCCCCTGATACCGGTAGGAGCCAAGAGTCTTCGCCAGTGCGCTTTAGACGCTTGCAAGAAGTATGCTTGTACAGCACTACATCCAGCTCCACACTCCTTTTAGTACCCGTAGCTCCAACTTCGATGAACCTTGCAAATCATGTAGGCAAGCGCCGTGGAAGGCGAGCCCTCCACGGCGCCAAGGGCATGAAAACTGTAGAGAATTTCTACTAACCTTATACTGGAACTGTGCTACTATTTTTCAGACATCTTGGCAGTAGCGGCTACGATGATCGTGGTTTACAATGTCAAGGGAACCATGGCACTGTCACATATGTTTGTTGGAGAGGAGGTAAGCTCTCAACTATCTTTTCTAGCATAGGTTGCAAAATGTAACCTAGCGCTTTTATGAACTCCCTTGCGCACAATCTTTCTAAGCAAATGTTTAGGCAACATTGGGGCACATATGCAATTGTGAATGTATCCATCTTATTAAAGTTTTCCTTTTTCTTTTTTTTAATGGCAGCCAAGCATGCGGTACATTACAAACTAGCACCTTTCTTGCACAACAGATAGAGCCATGTTCCATGCTTGTACGTAGTTTAGCCTTCATCTAGATCAGAGTTTAGCAAAGTTATGCAGTTGGAGGTGATGTTTAGGCGTCGCATGGTCTCAGGGGAGCCAATACGATGCTGATGGCACTGCTTCACATGTTTGACTAGAACTTCGACAAACAAGCTTTCTAATCACTGCACGGCACACTCTTCTAGAAAGGTACAAAGGATCCAGTGGCTGTCTTTCCTGACACACTGATGGTTGGAAATATCATGGCCAAAAGTAGTTTCCACAAGATTTCTAACCATCTAAAGCAAAATATTTTGGCCCAAATGTACATGGGAGGTGAAGTAATTGCAGATCGGGAGATCACACAAGGAGAATGTGGGCTCCTGTTGACTGATTCTGGCTTTTTTGCAATGAGCAAGCCAAAGCAACGTTTACGTCTCTAAGTGGAACCAGACTTCTGGCTAGCATTGCCGAAATTTTACTAATCGCAGAGATACTGCAGGTGTCCCTGTCGCACTGATGATCTTGCATAGTTTTCAGTGCTGGGAAAGCATGATTTACTGCCACTTGTCTAAGTTGCATTCTGTACAAGTGTAATCAGGCCTGCAGAGGGTGGGGGTATTACGTATTTAACATAGATCAAGTGACTATGGCAAATAACACTGGACCAGCTCGCTGGTAGATAGTGATATACTAACTGTGATGATTTAGAGAAGACTATCACGCATGGTTCCTGCCTTACATTGCATTGATTTTGTTTGCTAACACAGCAGCAAGACATCCCGGCGATGCCGTGCGTCGTGTACTCTGGCAATGACGCCGAGGGGGCTGACTTTTTGTACCTCGCTGTCGATAGGCAGCGGTTTTTGTCCGTGAAGAATGCAGAGGACGACATCGCTGCCATCATGGTGGCTTACTGGCTTTTTAATATATATACTCGAAAAAGGCAGCGAACACAGTTGCTGTACTAGAATGGTTGTTTGTCGGCCTCAGCAGCACTACTCCGAGGCCAGTTCTGATGAAATTCCTGAACAAGGTCGCAAGAGCGTAGAATCAATGAGGCCGACAAACAACCGTTCTAGTACCAAAGGGATGCTGAACCGAGATTTGGATGGCACGAAACCAGGCCGGAGCACTAGGTGGGATGCTGCAAACCTTAGAACATAACTCATATGACGGTATCTTGTACGGATGGCAGTACTTTTTGGAAAATATGAGCATGATTAACAAAGCTTGCGACATTTGTATTCTCCTCTTCCCTTTTTCGAAAATATGCCCATTCAGTTGAGATACTGCAGCATGAGTGATATTTTGGGGTCTGTAGCATCTCACTGTGTGCTTCTGGTGCCTTGTTTTGTGAAGTCAAAATTCAGTACAGCACCCATTTAACCTTCTAACTTGAAACTAAAATAAATCTACTATACTTTCCAGACTATAGTGCACAAACCATACATGTCTAAAAGTTGATATTTTACACCGTACAGTCTATCTACAGGTGTGGACTCTACTATTTTTGTTTCAAGATTGTTCATTATTACAAAACTGGTTAGGCCAGATTGCCATGTTTTGGATATTTTACGCTGGGATAAAGTAATCAAGACAACCTCTTACCGTCAGTCTGTTTCCCAGGCTTTCGATACCTCGCATCTGACATGTTGTTTGCTTGGGAGCCCACAAGCAACCAACTTAGGTCAAGCTTAATCTTGAGGAACTCTGCGATTGGCTGACGAGCAGATTACAGAAAGCCCCCTGACATTCATCCGCGGATATCTCTTTTGTGGAGTTCTCCAGCCTGAAGTTTTCCCCGAGGACTATACACCGAGTGCGGACTATCTAAGAAAATACTTTTTCTTTTTAGCCGAAATTTACCCTTGCGCATTATAGAGCTGGTTGTGAAGTATATTCTGGAAAATATGGTAGCTTGTTTTAATGTTTTAAGCCCTAAACTAAAAGAAGTGTAGCTTGATTTTTATGCAACTTTAGGGTCCTAAATGAAAGTCACATGTACAATGGAACAAAAAGTATACACTCGAAACGGAAGGCGTCTAAATTGTTCTGTTCTAGTCATTTTATCAAGAACCATTGTGATGTACTGAGGTAATCTGTATTGATTTTTGTTTTTGTTTTCTTATTTTTGCTAGCATCTTAAGCCTGCACTGTGATATATAAAGAAAATATATTTGGTTATTTGTATGGAGGACATAGCTGGTTATTTTGTTGTGCTCACATAATAGTTCAATAAATGATTATTCATTTAGTTTGGCTTTTATTGACTCAAACCCCCCAATTTTGTCTCGATTTTTATTAGCATCTAGGCCTATATATGCTGTGATATTTGATAGAATGCCTCAAGTATTGTATTTGGATATGTGTGTGGAGGACATACCTCATTATTTTTTTGTGGTCACATAATAGCTCAATAAATAGTTATTAATTTAGTTTTTCTTTTAGTTTTTTTACTCATTTTATAACGAATTGTATTTACTTGCAGCTCAATCACATGCTGTTTGTATGCAGCTGATGCCACTCGCAATGCCTTGGGCGAAAGTGTAAAGGTACTACGGCATACCAAGTATGACAACTCGTAACCACCTCATATGCTAGGGAAATGACCGACGAGCCAGAGCAGGATGCAAGGACCAAGTATCGGGATTGAACAAGCTAAGCTCCTTGTTGTTTATGTTTGTACCATACACTTTCTCACATTGCTTAGCTTGCATGAGCAAGTGCTGATTATGAATGCAAGACTCCATCTTTAAAATGATGTTTGAGAATGTCTCCCACTGATCTATTCTAATATACGAGTATTAAGACCATCGAGCAATTAATAAATTCAGAAGCTTTAGGCATGGAACAAATTCTGTGATATTTTCTTATTTTCCTTCCAAATTTTGTCGGAAGTAAAACTTAAATTACTCAAGATTTTCCTGTAACTTCCGTTTGCACATAAGCTTCACATTGAAATATTACCTTTTCTGCCATGCACATCTTGCCTTCATTATCGGACAGTGCATCTATGCACAGCTGCTTCAAGTAGCATGTGTGCCGATGCATTGCACACATCAAACCAGGAATCCAGTTTCTGTAACAAGGTCCTGTGCTGGCACTGCACTTTTGCATATCCTTATTTCTTCACTTATCTGGTCTGCATACTTCGTGGTTTTCTGGTTGCCATGCTTGGTATACTCAACCTTGTTTGACAGGTGCTGAGATACAGGGTGATTCATTCTCATTGGAACAGATTCTTGTAAAAGAAAACTTTTGTTTTATGCAAATTATCTTTTTACAGTTGAGTTATAGTTGTCCTGGCAGACACTTTATACAGTCAAGATGACAGTTAAAAGTGGACCTATTGCATAAAATTCATGAATTAGCTTTTTAGTTACTGGTTCGATAGCACCAGCACATATTGTGAAAATGGGGGCTGTCACCTTCTCAGACCAGCTTATTTTTCGTGAAATGAGCACAAACCTCAGAAAAAAACGATTGTGAAAGATTGTTGTACACAAAACGGGTTGTGGGATACAATACTTTCTGGACCGCTACAATACCGCTGCCTTTGGTGAAATGATATTTTCTCTTTTTTGGTCTATGTGCTCATTTCAGGATTTATAAAAAGAATTACTGATTTAAGGAGGTGATTGTCTTCAATTTCGTAACAGCTGTCGAACCAGTAATTGAAAAAGTTAATCAACTAATTTTAGATAATAGTCCACTTTTAGTGCCAGCCTGCCTGTACAAAGTGTCGGCTTGGCTAAGTGCTCATCTGTAACGAGATCATCTGTGTAAATGAGAAAAGTTTTGTTTTACAAAAGTTTATTTCGATTGGAATGAATTATCCTCGAGCACCCATTAAAATCAGCATCAGCACCCTTGGATTGGGGTGCATTGTACCTTGCACCCTATACTACTTCACACCCCTATAGGGTGCTTTGGCAGAGGGGTGCTCGTTTGCACCCTCAAAGGGTGCTCGTCCTGGGACAAGTGCTTTACACCCCTAAGGGGTGTAAAAAGTTTAGTGTGTAGGGTTACGAACGCGAGTCAACGGGACACCCGTGCCTCATATGAAGCATGGCAACCAATTCTGGAGTAGATTGGCAAGCAGCATACCAAGTAAGCACGTCCTGGTGATTTGCGTCCTTAACTCGTCATGACCTAGTCAAACACAACTGTGTGAAAGGGATATTTAACATTTCATTCGTACACAAAGAAATTTTTTATATCAATTCTCATGACAAGAAAACCTAGAGGGAAACTCAAAGAATAACTTAGTTCCGTGACTCATCCTGTGAAATGCCTGTTTTTCTTTCATTAAACTATTTTCAGCGCTAGCCATGAAGCTCCATTACCCCTTCATCAAAAGATACCAACATTGAACTTCCAGGGCCAGCCTTCCATCACTGGATGATCTGAGCTGCACCGACATTGAGTGTGGATGGTCCGCCAAGAAGAAAGGTGTGCGGCATATGTATGAGGCGGTGGCACTGTTGAAGTTTTGCCATGTGAGCATGAAACCCCCAGTCGTGGTAACCGCTCATGAGCAGGGCGTCATGGCAGAGCTGCTGCTACGGGCAGCACCACAATCGGCAATTGCACAACAGAGGTGAGACAATTCCTTCACATGAAGAGCTTGCATGAACAAAGCTGCATTACCCTTTCTGTATTTCTTTCTGTCTTTCTGTAATTAGGGAGATCGAGCAATCGAGACGTTTTCTCTGCCAACCTATCTGGCAAACCAATTGTTGGATGGCAACGCATATCAGCAGTCAAAACATGTTTTTCTGCTCGGCTACCTGGACGCAAGAGCAGAAATGTGTCAGATCGCAGACCGCTTAGCGGAGTCATCAGATCAGCCCTGCATTCAAACAGTGCTGAACCTCAAATGGCTTTAGCTTGTATTGGCCCCCGAGGAGGAGGCTAAACTGAGTGTAACTCGTTCTCCACCTTTAAAGAGAAGATCCACATAGTAAATACGCACATAGCCCCACGAGGAAATAATTGACCTAAACGTAAGCACACGAGTCAGGTGCATCAAACGTTTTAAAAATGCTGTGTTCGAGCTAATTCGTACCCTCAATTAGGTACACCATTTAGCTTCTGTAGACCACAGTACCTCGTCGTCATCAAGAACAGAAAATACCTCAAGCTCCTTGTTACTGTGCAGAATAAGCATTGCACACAAACTTTGAGAAATACCACCGCAAGCAGAGGTAGACAAAGAGTGAGTCTGCTAGTGCGTGAATACTGAACTAACCTCAGAGCCGGTGCAAGGTGTCACAGAACTGGGGCTGAACTCGTGTATCACTGGGATGAATCGAACACGCCAGTCCAGCGGCCATGCAAGTTCTGGTGGAATTGAATGCACCGGTTTCCGTAGTGTCTGATCTAGTTCAGTCAGTTCAGGCAAATCGAATCGATACATTATTTCATATCTGTTTATCTCTGTTTGTTGCATTTCAAACATTATTCTGTTACTTTTAGGAAACGAAAACCAAAACACAGGGTCCCGAACTCTACTCTGGATGTCACCCCTTGTAAGCGATTTTTCATATATTCGTACAATGCAAAAGTGTTCCCTGCATTCTCCGAGTACTTTCTGGCAAACGGTACTTGCTAATGCCAGAGGAGCATCAGTCTTCTGAAGTGTGGGTGTACCTTCCATGGGCTCTTGCAGACATGTTCTGGTGTTCGTGTACGTGTCCGCGTACTCGTGTGTTTAGATTTGCGCATTTGGCGCGGCGACCCAGATGCTGCGCCTTGGGTTGCACCAAGCAGTTCTCCGTTATGCGCAGCAAAAGTAAGGGCGGACTGGTTTCGGACGCTGGAACCCAGCGTCTGAAACTTGCAACCGCTAACGCCATTTCCTCGAGCACCGTCCGCCAAAACCGGAGTAAAGGCTGACACTTCAAGCTGGAAGCAGTCGCCTCGGCTGCCGGCATTATATTTCAGTATTCCGCTCATGCTAGCTAGCCCCACTTGTTTTTTTTTCGGCTTTAGCCTACGCGGCGATCTCACACAGAATGTGTGATGCATATCTACAACGCATGACGCTGTTCGAGCTCTCGAGAATCCAGTTCGACATCAACCCCCTTCATGGTCCATGGGAAAGTGCACGTTCCCGATCCGCACGACTGAACTGAACCCAGAACACCTGACCGGGGAACAAGGGATAATCTCGTCATCAGAACCTCTTGACACACGCCACCTAATGGACGCAAAATCCTGATCATGTAATCGAAGTTATTCTAGTTATCTAAACATTATTTCATTTAATTCACAAATCAATGTTGCATTACTAATTAATAAAACGTCAGCACCCGGCCATTGCTGACATGGTGCAGTCAACAGGATTTGCAGAATTAAAAAAAAAACTGGTGGCCATGCCCTGATCATGGACTCCAACAACGAATGTTACCGATCAGGATACGATGGGTCAGAAAATACAAGACATCAAAATTTAACTTCAGCAGTTAATTCTGGCCTTCAACAACGCATTTCCTACACGGCAACCTGAAAACGGCATCAACGTGACGAACGGAAATGAACCAGAATGACAAGTACCTTCTACGAATGCTTCTGCGCTGGGCACGACAACGCAGGTGAGCGGCAATGCAACAACAGTCGATTTGTTGTCAGTCACCGTGCCGACTCCCATCGCAACAAACTCGCCGAGACCCTACGACAGTCCCCGAGGCCTCTCCACGTCCACTCCACGAGCGACACTTTGCATGCGATTCCTACATTCGAGGGGGAGTCATATGAAAACGTCGCTGAGTGGCTCCGAGAGATTGAACGGGTGGCTTTCTTCGCAAATTGGACACAATGCCTCACCCTGCTCAATGCCGTCACCCGACTTCACGATGCTGCACGAAACTCGCACAGGTCCTATGGTTCCCCGATCGACGACTGGAAAGTATGGAAGGAAGCCATCAAGGAACGCTTCCAACGAAAAATAGGACTTCAACCATTTCTGGAGTACCAGCAACATCGACAGCTCCGCTACAAGAGCATTGTGCAGTACATCTACGCGAAAAATGACATGCGCGAGCGAGCATTCTGTGAATTAGGAGCCAGCGAACGGATCTCCCTGACCCTGCTCGGAATCACCGAAGACAAGTGGGCCAATCCCCTGGCAGCCCAAGGCTGTAAGTCAGTCCTCAATCTTATTGACTACGCGACGCCTCTGAACCACCCAGAGAAAAGACGCAACCATGCAAACAAGGTACGCACTAACCTACGACATCAGCGCAGCAAACAAGCGAGCGCCCTATCACCGAGTCCCTCCAAACGCACAAGGCGGAGCAAGTGTTTTAATTGCGACCAGCTCAGTCACCTCTCCAGAAACTATCCAGAACCGAAAACTACAGCGACCATCCGCGCAGAGGTGAAACGCGTGGAAAAGGGCACGAGTTTCACGAACCTGTTCATCAACGTCAGTGCATCGAATTATCGATGGCCAATCGTAATCGGTAAAATGGTTATATAAACCAACGTAATCTCCAGTGGAATAGCTCCGTAAACAACGCCTCATGCTCTCTCGAAGAGCTACCACGATCTCCAGAGGGGGGTGATATCTGTCAGGTGGAACTAAACTTGAAGCTCACTCAGTTATACCTGTATACCATCTAAATCTGAGAAACACAAATCAAGCATGTTTCCCTGGCCATTGGGAATACAATTGTGTTGCTTTAAATTCGTAAATGATGCAAAGTTAAGTAAGAACGTAGATTTCTGAGCAAGGTAGTAATTATTAGAAGACGCTGTGGCTGTTTCCCAACTTATATTGGGGACATTGAGATCACCAAGAACAATAAATTTGAATTTGTCTATGGCACTAGTTTTACTTTCAGTAGCAAGAAGGCACTGGTTAAATTCATCAGGAGAGGTGTCGGGCGGAAAGTAGCATGCGCCAAGCAGATGCCTTCAACATTGACACTTTGCAGTTCTATCCACACTGACTCAAGCGATGTCTCCAGGTCTGGACGTCTTATGCACGGTAATGACGCATCAACTCCCATAAAAACGCCTCCCCCCCCCCCCCCCCCCCCCGTCTTTTTTATATTAGAAAATTCGCGATCACGTCGAAATACCGTAAAATTTGGTGGGAAAAAGTAAAAAAAAGAAATATCTGGAAAAAGCCAAGTTTCAGTGAGAACAATAATAGAATCAGCAGTAAAAGCGACTTTAGAAAAAAATTCGTTAGTCTTTGTGCGAAGACCACGGACGTTCTGGTAATAGATATCTAGGTTATGTATTTTCGTCGGCATTTCCGGACGAGGGCAGTGATTAGCTCACCGTTTCATAGATGCGGCTCTCTGTAAGCTGGCCAGTGAATTCTTTAAAAAGGCTTCCTTCTGGCCAGAGAAGGGGTCAAACAGTTTTTCTATATCATGCTTAGCAGCCGTCACGTGGAACGAGGAGTAACCATCGTGATGCGTCTTCAGTCGCGTGCACGCAAGCTCACTCAGGGTGCCACTCTGCTCGATGTGAGCCTCGAGGCTCGCAGCGTCGCAGTTGGGGCCTAGTCGTGTCACAAACACAGCACGCTGTCGCCGTGGTTGACAGGGAGGTGTGCCGCCGGAATACCGCCTGCTGACGCGCTTCCCTAGAGCAAAGGACGCCTCCTCCTGTGGAGCTTTGGCCTTGTCTCGCGGAAGCCTCCTCCGTCCAGGTTCAACTAGTCCTGATGGCAGGAGTGCATCATCGAATCCAGAATAGAGGCCTCGGAGCTCGCGCCTCCAATGGCAGCAGGTACAGCGGCTCCTGGCGCACACGTAGCCTTCGTTACGGGGCGAGTGTTGCCTCTTTCATTTTGCATCAAAGCAACCGGATCCTGGAGGCTGGTCGCCGCAGAGTAGGACGATGGGGGCTGTTTTCCGCCTTGCCTGGGCTATTGGCGGAAGCTCCTCAACTCCGCTTGTATGTTGTGCAGCATGGTTGCCTGCTGCAGGGCGTCGTGCTTGTGCTCTCGACGGAGCTGCGCGTTCTCATCCCTGAGCGTGGCAACTTGATCCGTGAGGAACGAGATTCCCTCAAGCGCGTCGAGCAGAAGGGCCCGCAGAGAATCGACCCCCGCGTTGAGGATGTAGGGAGAGGAGGGAAGTGACCTCTCACCCTTTTCGGGACGAGCCAACACCACCTAGAGCAAAGGCCGCAGCGCTCGGAGTTGTGACGTCACAGATTCACGACGAGTGGGCCGACCTGAGAGGAAAGCTTCTCCGCAACACACGCTCTCTTTTTCTTTTCTTTCCCGAGGACGTCAAGCGGCGCATGCTCCGGCCTTTTTTTGTTTTTGTTTTTAGCTTTCTGCGAGCCCAGGCAACACCACCTATAGTCGGTTACAAGTTAAGAAGGTAGTAGAAGCCCCTCCCCATAAGCGTGATGCGCCCGCTTCAGACGCCTCCACAGTCGAGAAGATAGTGCTGAAAACGCCCCTTCTACTTCAATGGGTGGATATTGACTACAGACAGACCTTGTAGCGGGCGGCAGCTTGCGCCACCTAGCCGAGGCAAATTACTCGCTCCGGAAGGTTGACGTAAAAAGAAGGCTTCAGTGCAACGAAAATTGTAACTTTTATAAGTAATGCATATATGGTTGTTGGTTTTAGCTTGATAACCTTCCTACTCGAATTAGGTACATTCCGTGTATTTTCTGCGTTTGTTAAAAAAAAACCTGCGTTTCGGGTTTTGAAAGTTCCTGCGATTCGCGTTTTAACAATGCTGAAGTCGCCCTTTTCCGTTATGAATCCCAAAGTGGAGACAGCGGAATGCGATTCCTCCGATTCTTCTTCGTCAAGAGAGTCTGGTGCAGCCTCGCCGCCTACGCCAAGGCGCCTCTACAAGAAGCATAAGAGCGGCGATGTCCTCAACCGAGCTGCACGGCAGCTGATAATGAACGCGTACGTTCAGGTGCGACACGAACCGCCCGCCAAGCCCGGCCAGCCCGGCCTCACTGTGGAGGAGTCCTGCATCAAAGTCAGCAAGCTGCTTGGCGTTGGTGTACGCACCGTCCTCGAGATTAGGAAGCAGGCGAAAGAAACCGAGGGACAAGTTGTGACACCTTCTCGGAAGCGCCCAGCATGTGAAGGCAAGAGGCGGCGCAAAGTCAGGTACGGCGAGTTCACGTTGTGCGCGCTAAGATTGTGCGTCCACCGTTTCTTTCGACGGAACGAGGTCCCCACGGTCAAGAAGATAACGGCCGAATTCTGCGCGAGCACTGAACCTCCCTCGTTGAAGGCTTGGACTGTGCGTCGCCTTCTCCACGAGATTGGATTCGAGCATGACAAGAGGGAACCAAACTCCCGGATGATTGAACGAGAGGACATAGTCGCCTGGCAGCAGAAGTACCTGCATGAGATCGCACGTCACCGACAAGATGGTCGGATGATCTTCTACTTGGACGAGACGTGGGTGACGGCAGGGCACATTGTCTCAAGGGTGTGGGTAGACACGACAGTGGCCTCGTCTCACGATGCCTTAATGCGTGGTCTCTCGACTGGCCTCAAGCAGCCATCGGGGAAGGGCCAGCGTCTTAT